TGATGTCCTGGGTTAGTTCCTGATCCCTTTAGAAAAGCCTGTGCCTCTGATCCAGCCCCCAGCACTGTGCGGCAGACATTAAAAGGCAAGAGGAAACCCAACAGGAAGAGGTGGGAGGGGGTGTCCTGAGAAAACTAGGCCTGGGGCAGGAGATCTAGGTAGGCCTGGCCCTGGCCTGTTTCTTGGTTTTGGAATTATATCACAGTCTGCTGTCCCCTCCACCAGACCTCAGTGGTGCCATGTTCCTCACCCTCCTCCCTGAGGCAAGAGCCCATTTCCTGATCTGTCCTCTGGGGGAACCCAAGGTATTATTCAGTCAAGAGGATTGAATCAAATACTTAGACCACAAGACATGTATTTAATTATTTTTCTCTTTTGAGGGCCCTTGTCTTTGACGGCTAGGAAGCTGAATTTTCAAAGGCTGAGCTATGAAGATTGTTTCTCTTTCGATTTTCGCCAGTAAAGCAGGCTGAGGGAAATTAAATGGGTTGAGATTTGCAAATCATGGAACCATGTTAAGTAGAAAGCAGYTGGGACCCACTCCCCAACTCCCAGCCCCACAGAGCTGACCTATTCAAACAACTCTCAAAGCCTGACCCTCCTAGGTAAGCCCCCCACGCTGTAATTCCCACCAGCTCTAGGAAAACCTCAGTGGCTCTGCCAACTGCTCCAGCATTGGGCAGTAGGAAGCCCTACCTCTCCCTCCAGGTCCCGCCATTCTCTGCAGTGACTCACCAAAGAATAAGGCCTAGTATGAGGAGTAGAGGTAAAGCGATGATCAGCCCAAGGTTTTGGCCTTGCTGCACACCCTTGGCCTGCTCAGGCTGTTGGTTCGTGGTCGAAGACTCCAATTCTCCTGGATTCGGGCGTACTGAGGTCTCCTCAAGTGGAGCCATGTCACCTACAAGTGGGGCCGTCTCTCCCAGGAATGGGGCTGTCTCATCTTGGATGAGGGCTGCCTCATTCTGGAGTTGGGCCATCCCGGCCTGGATTGGTGAGGCAGTCTCACCCTGAGCTGCAGATGTCTCACCCTGGACTGGTGTGGCCATCTCACCTTGGAATTGGGCAGTTTCAGCCTGGCCTGGGGGAGTCATCTCACCCTGCAGTGGGGCAGTCTCTACCTGTTCTGGGGGAGTCATCTCACCCTGTCCTGGGGCCATCTCATTCTGGAGTGGTTGGCCCATTTCAAATTCGCCTGGTTCTGTCTCCTCTTCGAATGGTGCCATTTCATCCTGGTTTGGTGGAGCTGCCTCACCCTGGACCTCGGAGGCCGCCTCACCTTCACCTGGAGCCATCTCACCCTGAAGTGGGGCAGTCTCTTCCTGGAATGGCGGGGCTGTCTCCTCCTCCAGTGGTGCTGTTTCAACCTGGTTTGTCTCACCCTGGAACTGGGAGGCCATCTCACCTTCACCTGGAGCCATCTCACCCTGCAGTGGGGCAGTCTCCACCTGGAATGGCTGGGTCGTCTCACCCTGGGCCGGCTGGGTCATCTCACCCTGGGCCAGCTGGGTCGTCTCACTCTCGGCCGGCTGAGTTGTCTCACCCTGGGCCGACTGGGTCGTCTCACTCTCAGCCGGCTGGGTCGTCTCACCCTGGGCCGGCTGGGTTGTCTCACCCTGAAGTGGGGCTGTCTCAGCCTCAAGTGGAGCTGTCTCAGCCTCAACTGGAGCCGTCTCAACCAGGTCTGGAGATGTCATCTCACCCTGGAGTGGGCCCGACTCACCCTGGACTTGAGGGGCCGTCTCACCTTGGGCCAGTGACCCCATACCATCCTGGAGTGGGGCAGTCTCGGCCTGTTCTGTTGAGCCCGTATCTTCCTGGTTTGGGCCCATCTCACCCTGTTCTGTTGGGCCCGTCTCACCCTGGAGTGGGGCTGTCTCACCCTGAACCCCTGAGCCCGTCTCACCCTGAACCCCTGGGCCCGTCTCACCCTGGACCGTTGGGGAAGCTGGGCCTGTCCCACCAGGGATGGCTGGACTGGTCTCACCAGTGACATTTGCACCCTGTGTCCCTGACTCTGTCTCACTCCCAAAGAGGATGCTTGTTGTTGGTGTCTCCTCTGTAGCATTTGGGGGCAAAACTGACAGAGGAGGGCAATGAGCTGTCCTGGCAGGAAGTGAAAGCAAGCCCTCCCCAACACCCAATCTGTCTAGAGAAACGCCCTAGGGAACCTAGCCCCAGCTGACAGAATCCATAACCCAGGCAATAAGCCACACCTCCATGGCATGAAACCTCAACCCAACCTGAAGGGAAGCCTCCGCAGCTGCCCCGCAACACCCTGGGCCCTGAATGCTCCACTTCTCTAACACCCAGGACTGACCTGTGACGAGATAATGAATGATCGTGGATGGGCCAGTGGTCTTTGTACCCAGTTCACAGCGGTAGGTGCCAGTATTCTTTTGAGTTAATGAGGTAATGGTGAAGATGGGGTTCTTTCCCTGGTACAGCAAGGTCTCAGAACCATCCTCCCAAATCTACAAGCAAAATTAAGGGCATCACAGGGTCCTGGGGAATGTCAGGAATTGGGGGAATAGAGGGCTGAGGAGAACTTGGGACCTCAGTGCAGGGAGACAGGAGTGCAGAGCATCATTGAGCAGGGATTGGGGTGCTTGGGGGTCAGCAGTGACCTCACCTAATAGGCCATGAGGATTGGGTGCAGGCCAGGGCATCCAGGGGCCAAGGGCTCATACCCACCTGAGGGACTTGGGGTTTAAGGGTTAAAGGAGTTGGAA